GGGTGTCCTTCTTTCTGCGAGGCAACATTGCTAACCACTGTGCCACCTTGCAGCCCTATGACGATTACAACGGTAAGAAAATCAGACAGTTTGATGTTGTTGTTAGACGAATCAAAAGACCCTAATATCATGGTGATTAAGTGTTGTGCACACATGACTATTTGTCCTGAAAATTTCTTACAATATTCTCGAAGACAGCCGAAAACTGCCTCATGTCATTCTCAAACTTATTATTATTTATTAAATGCACAAACAATCTCTTGAAACCAAATAATAAAACTGGACAAAATAGAGATTTCTTTGTAGCTCACTGCCCCTGTGAACTATCTCCTACAACTGTGCCAGTGGACCTCGTGTTTAAAGCCAGATAACAGAAATAATTTCTTTATCAGATCAACACACTCACCAGTTAGGGCCAGAAAAACCCGGCGACTCCCTCGGCCTGGAACAGCAGAGATGAATTTGGTCGACTCCTTTCAGTGTTACTCTTATACCATTCATACAAGAGAGTGATTCAGCTGCACTAACAGAGAATTATGTTGCATTACCAACGGTTACTTCCTTCCTTACTTCTTTACAACCCACGTGTGTCATAGTCGCTTCTTGTCATTTCTGACGTATCTAGAGTAGGAAATAATAATAGTATGTTTATTTTTAACTACTTTCCTAAGCAATATAAGTTTGAGTACTGATGGTGATTCACAGAAAAATTATTTTGGGGTCAAGTGTGTTGTTGCTCAAACAAATTTTTTTTTTTTTTATTTTAAGAAAGTCACATGGAGAATTCTAGATGGTAATGACCACTAACTAGACCACTAATGACCACTAAATCTAATGATTAGCTTTTTTCAATCGTGTATTGTAACTGAGGATTTGTAGGATCCATTCAGATTCTGAAATATGTTCAATTATACACACTGATATCTTTAATACTGTTTCAAGGCCTCTTGTGCCACCAAAAGAGCTCTGAACTGTTGAGGCCTGGATTCCACGGACCTCTGAAGGTGTCCAGCGGTATCGGGCCTGAAGATATTAGAAAGATTCTTTGAAGTCCCAGAAGTTGCAAGGTGGGGTCATGATGGGCCAGACTTGCTTTTCCAGTCCATCACACAGATGACTTTGAAGGAGAAGTCAACACCTTGAACCCTTTATCGTGTTCCCATTCCTCAACAATTTTGTGGCAGAGCGCAGTACCCTGGCTATGGCAAACATGGACAGTTTTTCTCCAAAGTGATAAATGCAGTGGATAAATCCTGCAAAACCAGCAGTTTATTTTCATAAATCAGGATTTTGAGGCTCTTTCACGTCCCCCTGCCTG